GGAGGGGGAAAGAAGTGATGCTTTGGCAAAAATCCCCCCTGACCAAAATAATTTCCTTGAAACCTTTTAAAAGTTCAAACATATTTTAAACATTTAGCTGCCACTCTTTCTCAGCCTGAGGTTTGCAATTACTCAAACTCCTTGGGTCAAAAAACTCAGCTGACAAGCTTGATGGGTGCAGCATGCCTCCGAATTACCAAAAACTGAAAAATCTGGGGGCGTACTGTATGATAAACTTTCAAAACAAACATTAAGAATGAAAGAGAAAGGTGCTTCAGTTGAAACTGGTAAAAATAAGCACATCATACACAACATTTTTAATAGAAGACTAGTAAGGTGCCTTCATTTACTACTGTATCACTTATCTGGTGCTTCTGTGGCATTTGGAAACAATAAACATTCAGACAGAAAAGTCACAGCCCTGCCAAGCTACTGTAAAGAGTTAAAAGTCCTGATCTTGCTTAGGTCAATACTTACAAAGGAACACAAGTACAGATGACCATTTTATAGCTGGTGAACCGAGACTGTTACACCCCTTTTCTCTTAGAAGACTTCAAACAAATAAGATATACTTATTTTGATTGTCATGGCTAAAGTTATACAATATACAGCATATGTGCTTATAAAACAAACCCAATGAGCAAGTATTAGCTTAAAAAAAAAAAGAGAAGCCTGCTGACGGAGCAGAGGTTTTGCGTAAACACAAATGACAAATCAAGTGTAAGCTTCAGCTTCAGACGCAGGGTCTGATACTTCTTTGGTCCCAGTGTACAAAATACACCACCGAAACAACTATAGTCCATTATCTGCCACCTGACTTTTACGCTGTCTTACTGAGCTTTCAGTCTCTGAATCAGCTAAAGGTTGTTCACTTAAGTCTTCCATTTCTTCTTCCCCTGATTCTTTTCCAAGTGCTAAATCCTCCTCTGAGTCATCAGCACTTGAATTTGCTGCATCTTCTCCATCTGAGAGGTCTTTTACATCTGCAGTCTCTTCCGCATCATCTGCGGAAAGCTCTGCAGCCTCCTCCGGTTCTTCTAATGCTGCATTCTCCACATTATCCTTTGTAATTGCTTCTTCTAAACAAAAGAAGAGTTTCAAATACTGGAGTTAGACTGAATCTCAGAACAACGTCTTTTAAAGTTACATCATCATGTATGTATTCTGAAATATTTGTGAACATTATTATTGACAACTTGTACAGGACTGTATTTTCCTTATTTTTCAATAATTTCAAATAAATCTTCAGTAGTATTTCTCCTCCATTTTCATTTGTTTTTCTTGCTTATCAGGCATAGCTAGCTTTCATTTTGTTACACCAAGTTAAAACTAAAGACAGATCAGTTTTCCTTGGCTCCTTGAAGAGGTAAAGGTACTGGTAAGCTCTGTCAGGTAACAGCTGCTGTTGAGTCAACCAGCCAACTGGATAGCGTACCGCACAAGTATGCATAGGTGCATTTTTCTTTTGATAGCCATGAACATCTAAGGTTTTGAAGGTGGTAATTTTGCACACTTATGAATTCTAGATTTGGCTAAAGTCTGACTGGCAAGTGTCACAGGTGTATCTTCATGTTCAACAGCAAACCAGTACACACAATTGTACACAATTAAAACCTAATTTTTTAATTACAGCTAAGTTTTGACTCCACTTAATAGCACAAATGTACCAAAAGGTGTTCTGGAGCTTAACACACACCTGGTGCTGACAAGAGACTTTAATTTGCATGCAAGTTTTTGCCTCCCATGTTCATAGGGAGCAGAATACTATTCAGAAGCCCTCTCACTACGGATCAGAAAGACGTGTTTTCTTTTTTTATTTGAAGGATATGCAACACCTTCCCCGGTCCTCACACCTGCAGTCTCTAGATTCATTTGACTCCCTCTATCTCCTCCTTTCCCCAACCACAAATTACGTAGAGAATTTTACGGGTTCAGAACACTGCATCTCCTAATGCAATATACAGAGTGCATATTAGGATGTGGAGGTGTCCTGCCAAAGCAAATTCCTTTTTATATTTAAGCAACAGGTCTAGTGAATATGCACTTGCATAAAATACACAAACCCCAGCATCTTTCTTCAGGACTTCCTCATTTTGAATGCATTTAGCCTCTTCACAGTTGTGGAAGCTAGAACAACTTACTGTTGTGGGTTTTTTTTTGGTCTGCTTTGCTATCCTCCAGGTGGATGCTTTGACATCGATATTTTAGAGCCCAACACATCAATCCTTGTCAGTGTGACTAAAATGAATACCTAGATTACTGGTTCACATCTAACTTCTTGACATCTAAGGACTACTTGACACTGGTTCACATCTAAGTTCTCCCTCCTACAAGTGTACATTGAAACCTACAAGATCTCACCCACTTAAGAGTTCTTACCAGATGTTTCAGCTCTGTATCTTGACTTGGATGGGCAAAGGCAGTCTGAAATCAAAACCAGTACCTGTGTAAAGGAAAAAAAGGCATTTATTAGCAGCCCCGGCACTATTAATTTTCCTACTCATCCTTTTTAGACAGACACACAATAAAATTTAGAAAATTATATTATCTTGCTCGGAGATAAGAGCTGTCCTAAGGAGCTAAATAAAAACACTGAAAAGACGTGTGTTCTCAGTGTACACCAATCAACATTCTCTGCTTTCTGCTCCAAATTTTCTGCCTCCTACTTCCCTAAATTTATTCAGTACTGAAACAGCTTGCATCTTAAGAAGAGTGGCCCAGAACACAGTTGAGGAATTTTTATTTGTTTAAAACTTATGAAACCACCTTGGTCAAGATTTTCTATGTTTTGGGATGTTATTCAAGTCCTACCCCTGAATCCCCAATACACGATGTGTACTTCCACCTTTTGTGCTTGATCTTGTCTTCTAGGGCTTTTTTTGTTGTTCTTATTTAAAGCAGCCTAGTGTAGAAAACATACAATCAAAACGCAAGGAAGATATTTGTGTGTCATTGTCATGTGCTAAGAATAATGCAAAGGAAAGAAGAGAGACCTATGATACCATGTTAAAGAAATACATTTCAATCATTGAAAAGCTTTTTAGAAAAAGCTGAGAGTAACTTTATATTTTTTCAGCTTTTTCAGGTTTGGCTTTTTTTAGCCAAGGAGGAAGAAGGAAAGGTTTTTTTAAAAATCATCATATTCATTTGCTCCTAGTTACGCTAACTTGATTTGCACTCATTTGGTGATGAAAATCTACCGTCTAGAAAAATGCAGCTGTTTAAATTGTATAATGAAAGACATTTGCTCATATATACCAATTCTATACACATATTATGTATAAAAATGTGGTTTTGCCTAAATACACACACACACTGCTTTGAAATCACTTCCCTGTACTACTGAGAAACATACTCATGCAATTTCTCTTTATTTCACTAACACTAACATTTGGGCTGAAGGGCAGAGATCCAAGTGCCAGAAACAACCTTTACACTTAGAATCATAGAATCATTAAGGTTGGAAAAAACCTCTAAGATCATCGAGTCCAACCGTCAACCCAACACCACCATGCCCACTAAACCGTGTCCCTAAGTGCCGCATCTACCTGTCTTGTAAATACCTCCAGGGACGGTGACTCAACCACTTCCCTGGGCAGCCTGTTCCAATGTTTAACCACTCTTTCAGTAAAGAAATGTTTCCTCGTGTCCAATCTAAACCTCCCCCGGCGCAACTTGAGGCCATTTCCTCTCGTCCTATCGCTTGTTACTTGGGAGAAGAGACCCAACACCCACCTCGCTACAACCTCCTTTCAAACACGGAACAGCGATCCACTTCCTAGATGGAATAGCGATTTAGCAGCTAGTTAAACCAGTTATCAGCATAACTGTTTTAAACTGTCTTTGCAGTTGCAGAACACGCTAGTGGACCAAGCAACTAGTCTGAAAGAACTTCTATTCCCATCTATATCTCCTTTTCCAGCTCAGTTTCTCATTTGATATCGGAGAGGTCATAGAGCCACATCATTCAAATATTCCGAGAGGAAGTAATCCCAGCTCCACAGGTAAAGCAACTTTGAACTGCTTCCACTGATGAAACAACATAGGGCTCAGGATATGGTCCTTAACATTCGCATATATAGCTAAAAGGTTTGTTTGAATAACCTTTCTGATGTTTTGGAGATTGATGTATGAATGCACCAGTTCTGGTTAGTAACAAGAGAGGTCAGATTTTTCAATTACTAATGAGAATTCAAACCAAAAGACTGTGGGGGAGAAAGAAGTGAAGTCAGATTTTATTAAAACTAAGCTGTAACCACAAGCTATGCCTTGGAATAGAATAAATCAATTAAACCCCCAAATCTTCAAAGCCTTTCAAAAAATATTTTCATCCTTTCATTTTGAGTAACAGTGCAGCAGCATACATACATTGCTAACTCCCACAAATACAATCCCACTCCAGCTAATAAAAAAAATCTCTCCACAAAGCCTGTGTTTTTAGAAAGTTGGAGTCTTTACACAATTCTGACCACGCACATCCAAGCCTGAAGTACAAAAGTCTTAGATACAAAAGGCCAATATAAAAATCACTTGTTTAGTGGATAAACTAAACAAGTCTGAATTGAAGCATGAATTTCATAAAAAGGTTAACTTATTTGAGTGAACCAGTCTTAACCTTTACCAGAAGTAGGTAGCAACACTAGAGAGTGGCTCTGCAGTACTGAATACTTAAGACTTTTAACAGATGAGAATAGAACAGGCTATTTCAGTTGGAAGGGACCTACAACGATCATGTAGTCCAACTGCCTGACCAATTCAGGGCTGACCAAGTTAAAGCATGTTGTTAAGGGCACTGTCCAAACGCCTCTTAAACACCGACAGGCTTGGGGCATCGACCACCTCTCTAGGAAGCCTGTTCCAGTGTTTGACCACCCTCTCGGTAAAGAAAGACTTCCTAATGTCCAGTCTAAACCTCCCCTGGCGCAGCTCTGAACCATTCCCATGCGTCCTACCACTGGATACCAGGGAGAAGAGATACGTCATTAAAATAAGGTACTTCAGTATATCTCATCAGTGAAGTTTATTCTTTTTTTCACAAGTTAATGCAAAGCAAAAGTTCTAGGTAACTGAGAAAAAGAAAGTAATATGCTTTCTTACCAAACCCAGGAACAGGCCAATCAATAAGGTAGCTAAGATGAAGAGTGCATAAGAAATCCAAACATGAATTCCAAGAGTGCCAGTGAGGTAGCTATGAATTTGCTGGAAATGAGAAGATGATACTTAATAACTTCATACCTAACACCACTTACGATTTATACTGCCATCACCATTACATAAAATTGATATCTAATTAAGACCTTTCATTTAACACTATTTATACTAAAGCTTTCCCTCTCAAGTCCTAGTCATCCTTAAAAGTCATACTGTAATTCTTTTGATACCATTAAATCTTGTTTTTCTTTACCAAGTTGTTCACATCAAAAGGCTTTTTAAGCAAAGGATGTATAATTCCTTCTTCCTAAGTTAGTCGGCATTAGAGATGCCACGTGTAATCTTACTGTGGATAAATGTATGAGGAAGGCTCAGAGCGTACAGGACTGTATCACAACATTCTTGATCCTTATATTCTGTAAGAAGGTAGCAACCGTTGGAGACAGACTATTGGGCCAGATGAACCCATGGCATGAACCGGTACATCTGTTCTTATGGCCTCTGTTGTAGGAAGGAGCCCATACAGTAAGCATCCCCAATAATGACAGTCACAGCACCAACAGAGGTTGACAAAGCTGAGTACTGAAGAAAAGGTAACTTATAAATTAAACATTTCAGAACCAAAAAAAAACAACCAAGTCAGGTTAAGAGCAAGTGTCCTTTTATACCCACTTCACAAGCACATCACCAAGTAAAAAAAAAAAATGTAACCCTATACGGAGCTTCATCCCCATAATTACATCTGGGAAGCAGAGCGGTAGACGCTTAAAGTTGCACAAGATCCAAATATATACCTAAATTTGGGAATCCGTTCATTAACTAAAATTGAGCCATTTAGTTCTTACTCAAGCTCTTTAGTTCTTAAAAGGAGCCACCCATTCTAAACAGATACCGAGTAAGCGATTTCACTTACAGATTTAAAGAGAATATTCCAAATACAATATTAGGATTTCTTTGACACTGGAGTCTGTTATTCAAACCTACAAATTCAATTGACTGAACCAAGCATCACAGAGTCTGGTAGGAAGTAAATTACCACATTAGATCTCTTCCAAGAGTATACCCATTAGAAAACAAACCACAACCAACATTTACAAAAGTTTAAATATTGAAATTCCAAGGGGTTTTTTTTGTGTTTTTTTTTTTTTTTTTTTAAATAATGTCAGAACAGCTTCCAACATTTATTAAAGCATATGCAAGGACAGCACAGCAAGAAGAGTGAGGAAATGTACAGCTGAAATATTCATCAAAGCAGAAAGCAAATTAGAGAAGGTTTCTTCCCAGGGCATTTAATCTTTCAGGAAGGAAACTAGACAGAGGCAACATCATTACACAGCAACCATGGAAGAGAAATGCCAGGCGGCTATAAAAATTTAATACTATCCAGTGAAAGAAAGAATCAAAGATAGCTTGCACAGGAAACCTAATACCTGAAAGTTTCGTTTGATTCTGCATTAGTTAGATGCTAACTGGAAGTGATACGAACTCTGTTCAAACTACTACGTTTATTTTTTGTAGCACATGTTACAATATTAAGACCTTTTGCTATAATCAAATACAGTCTCTCAATCTTGGCTACACTTGAAGATTTTAAGAAAGAGTATGTTTCCTGACCAAAATTGGAAAGGTCTGAAAATTCTAAGCATCTGCACGCTACAGGAAAAACTTTGATAGCTCCCAAATGGAAGCGTCTTGAAATACTTTTAAGCTCAAAGCATACTTCAGTGTACGCTAAGCATTTCTCCTTTACTTCTGTTAATTACTCTACTGTCCTAATTTGTTGTGTTCCTGTGCGAATGGCTTGACAGTTTGAAATTCAGATGCAGAAATTCTTACTAAAGAATAAAACCGTCACCCTCTCTTCTCCAGTACAATACACTAGATGCAAAATGAACTGCAGAAGAGGATAATATACAACTCTTAAAATGAACCTGCATAGAATCCTTAGGAGTAGTGTTAAATGAGAGAACCTGGTAGATACTAAACGTCTTCCTGATGTTTACAGCCATTTTTGCAGCAGCTCTCACAAAATTACTCTATCATGTTAGCACACTTTGATAGAACATTTTAACTACACCAAGATAATAAGAACAGGAAGTATTTTCAGTATTGATGATAATCTTTACAATCAAACTGCCATTTTTGGCATAGTTTATTAGTACTACAAAATTTATAGTGCAAAGATACTATACAACCAATGTACAGTAAATGTCGGGAAAATTTAACTCTCGTAAAAGGATAATAAAAATATTCAGTTAGGTTTTGACTGCTAAACAGAATATTATTCTAAGCATGGAGAGGAGCTATGGAAAACACTACCACATAGTTACTTACCCTGATCCATCCAGAGAGGTGAAATAGTCCTGCCATGCCATGCATCCTAGAAAACAAAGAAAAGGAAGGAACAGGTTCTAAGACAGATAGGAGTTGAGGTACACAGCAAACTGCCCAGAAACCAGAAAAAGATTCTATCTATGGACTTTCAATGCCATTCAGCCCCTAGTAATTGTCAGGAGGAGGTTACTGCAAATAAATATATTTTCTCAGTATTATGTCCATTTAAGCCAGCTCAATGCAAAGCATTGAAACAGTGACTTGAAAGATGACATCTGAGCATAATCAAGAAATACCGATTCCACAGGTTAACCCTGTGCGGCCGTAACCAGCCGTTTCCCCAACTCACAGCAGCATGCAGCCCTGCAGCACCCCTCCCCATTACTAAATATCCTAGAGCTCTTCCTCATCCTCATATGAAAAATAAGGACACCCACTGGATCTTTGACATGGATTTACAAATAGCTTTAGCCAGAATGAAATGCAGGGCATTCACATCTCTCCTTCACCTTTTACATCATGCAAGCATTCTACGCTATTTCAAAGCGAATCCAATGCTCTGAAAACAAATTCTGATATACTGTATAAGCACCACACTGTTTCCTATTCCAAGGGAGGACACAAGACTTCCTTGTAAACAAATAAACAAGAAATCCTTAAAGCTAAAGGCTGCCTGCCCCAAGCAGCCAAAAGTCGTGAAGTAAAAATCTACATAACCATGTATTTGATTCCAGTATTCGGCAGATATTCAAACTGACACCTACATAATGCTCAGTGGCTGTACTTTTTTTCCCTTTATGTATTTTCAAAGATGATATAAACAAGCCTTAGTAGGCACGAACAAAAGTGAGCGCAGAAAATAAACCGCTTTTAAAGGTGAGAAACTGGAAAGCAGGCTGTCAATACAGATTGCTTCTGCAAAGCCTACGTGTCTAGGGAATAAAGGCCTTTTGTCTCTAAGCTGTCAACATAGTACCCTGAATGAATAATGAGCTATAAAGCATGTTTGCTGTTAATAAAAACAAAATGTTACATTATAGAAGATGGAGACTTCCATCCTGCTACAGGCTCCACAGCTTCCCATTTTCTCTCTAAAACATAACCTTGAAGATCTTCCAACGTCCGTGAGCCTCGGTATCTGCGAAATACTCCATCATTTGCACTAAAAACCAAAAATATGCATTAACACAGATATCCCTTAAACTGTATCTATGGTAAAAAAACAAAAACACCCACGTACATTATATATTTGACTTGCTCAGAAAGTTGAACACCTAAGCATCATGTAATCCATGATGGAAGGTCTCAGTTTTTAAACAGCATGAGTTTTGCCATTTATTAAAAATTCTGTTTTTCTTAAATTCACTCACACTACAGCAAACACAAAGCACACGAGGTTAACAACCAAATCATTCTTTAGACACAACTCAGAATTAAAAGTGTGCATATATATGTGTGTGTATATGTATATATGCATGACTCAATACCATGACTTAATAAAGGGTTCAATATTTAAAGGATGACATCTTCTTACTGCAGAAGAGATACAACAAACATCTTTCCTGATCTGTTTTTAACAGTATTGATAACAGGGGAACTTTGTAACATCACTTAAACTAAAGAAAAGCCTCAGATGAGGAATTTATCAATACAATCAAAGCTCTAAACAATAACCTGAACTGAAATCAAAAGTCAGTATTCCTTCATTTTTACCTGCATTTCAGAGTTACAGTTTAAAACAAGTGACAAGTAGGAGTCAACAGTTACATACTGGTACTGAGTCAACAGATGAAGAATTCCAGCAGTAAGAGAAGCGGTACAACAAACACTGGAAAATTCTGTACTGTTTTACATGCGACCTATGCAGTCAGTTATTCAAATGAGAAATTTTAGTGACACTTACATAAGGTCAAGCGTGTCTGCTCACATACGGTCAGGTTTCTAGAAGCCAATACTGCAAACTTGCACCAATTTTTACAAATGCTATTAAAAGTTGTTTCCACACTGAAAAAGCATCACTTTTATCTAGATACGAAACCGTTTGTAGGAGAACTTTCCACCATAAGTTAGAAATACATACTTTATGTTCATTAAGTGCATTGAGCTCCTAAGTAACGTTTTAGAGATTGACAAAAATGAAATAAGCCAGTTGTTCATTGCATCTTCCATGCCGCTGTTCAAACAGGACAGGAAAAAAGAATACATACTCAAACAGACAACTGTTTCTAGTGTGACACACTTACTGGTAAATTGTAGGAAGTGTTGTGACAAAGAAACGACCACTCAAGCCTAGAAAGGGAAGAAAAAACACACAAACAGTTCAGTAAAACTGAAATTTCCCAGCATTCTGACTTATCTATAAATACCTACAGATCTGTATTTGTAGACTAGAAAGCAGCAGACTGCATAGCTTTTACCACTGTTTTGTAAATACAGGTTTACAGTTTGTCTTCAGAAATGCTACAAACAGCAATAGATACTAAATACTGCTGACAAATTAAGGAAAAATGCTTACCTTGAAGAATGTTCACTACAAGGTAACTTTTCTACATGGATTTCGCTAATCAATACTTGCACACAGCTGAAGTTTTTGACCAGACCAGCAGTGTGCCCCTCCAACCAAGAGAAAGAAGAGTCACACAAACGCACCCATATTCCAGGATGCTGTGTGCTTGTGTCTGTGCATAGTCTCATCCAGACGAGCTTTGTTTCATCTAGAAAGTTGGGCCACTAACAACAATAGCAATGACAACAATGTCTAACAAACTCTGGCCCCTGATTTTAATTCATATTTTAGCTGATTTTAAATGATTTAGAGCCACACATTTCAGATCTTAGGTACTTCAAGTCATTAAATAAATTCATTTTTGTATTTGCTTCTTTGCTTCTTCCAAATAATCTGCGTACACCGCACAACCAGTCTGTTCTTATATCCTGTAGGAAGGCTCCATCTCTCTCAAACATGACTGTAGCAAGACAACGTTTTGGATTTTTCTAGGTTCTTATCCTTCCTTCCCATACATCTTTCCTCTCCAGGTAAATAGAAATGGTATGCCACCAGATTGATAATAAAGCTTGGGATGTCTCAGCATTCTGTTCTGTAAAATATTGCAAGTTTAAGCCATGAGAATTTTTAACATCATCTAAAAGGGTGGGTCATGTCAGCATTTTGAGCATAAGACAGAAGAAATGACAAAGAAAGTTTGAAGTAGGGCTTCAAGAGGCTGACTGGAATTGATCCCCACCCTGAAAGCGGGCATTTCACTGACTGGCAAATACATAGTAATCTTTTTAGAAGTATCACCCCAGACAGTGACAACATAATGCAATTCATAGGACAGAGAAATTATCCAAATCGTCAAAAAAGCAGCTTGTGGGGGAGAAGGTGTTTGAAGTTCTCTGGCCTTCCACTCAGTACTGCTACAGAGTAATAGGTGCAAGGGCTTCCAGCTCCACTGCTGCGTAAGGTACACCATTGAAGATCTCCCAGTGTATGGCTTAATTGCAAAAGAGTCAGCTGTGAAGCATAAAGCTCCCAAACATCTCATAAGCATGTTGTCTGTGCGACTCAACTCGCTAAGCTGTCAGGTGAAGACATCACTCTCTTCCCTCTGCTTCCAAATCTGAGGAAGTCAGGGCTACTTGACACTACCACCTCCTGACAATTACAAAAACCTGCAAGTCAGAGGAAGAACTCACCTTAGTGCTTAGTAATATTATTTACTATTCAACACATCCAACTTAAAGACTGCAAAGATTAAAAACGTGCTACTAATGCAGTCTATTTTTTGGGGGGGGGAATACAGCAGACTTCAGAGATCACCAACCCTTAGATACACAGTCTAACTCCATTAGTAAGGGCTACATTCCTCTAGCTAGTAATTGCCAGTCATATAATGTACCACGATAAAGAGTACAAATCAGTTATTTAACTTTTCCTTTTAAAGTTCTGCGAAAATCTTTTGGGAAACTAAGTCCTTACTCGGCTTTCAATAAAACAACATCTTTTGGCACCAGGATGTTAGCCATGGAAAAGTACTGTAGCAACAGAGTTTCTGCCTTCAGAGACAAAGATGAGCCATACTGAACTAAACCAGGTATTTTTAAAAGTTTCAGTAGGAATGTTTTTCCTAGTCTGAATTCCCCTATGGAATAGGCAAAAAAGGGTTGTGGGATTTTTTGTTTTTTGGGGTTTTTTGGGGGTGGTTTTGGGAAGATGTTTACATCAAACCAAGTGCAAGCATCTTCAGAGTTCCAAAAAGGAAGTCTTCTTAATTTCAATTTTTCAGCTTTCTGCCTTTATTGCTATGAGAGGCAGGGTGGTGGAAAACTTTATAAAGAACAGCTAAAAGCTGTGCCAGCACAGGGAGATAGGAAGTAAACAAAAACACAAGTGTAACAGTAGAATTAATCAAGCAGAAAGCACAGCTGCAAAATAAAAACTAGGTGGAGAGCCATAAAGATCATAATAAGCTTAAGAGCAGAGAAAATCATGGGAACACTAAAAGACCCTCTGAAGTTCTTACAAATGCTAGTCAGGCAAACAGAAAACAAAATAGCTAGCTTAAATCTCTCTTACCAGTAGCCTCTCCTAGAGCAAGTACCAATGGTCTCAGAATGAACAATGAAATCTATAGAATATAAAATCTGTTGCCAAAATGCATCTAAGCATTCCCAAAACATTAGCTGGAGGTTTGTTGCTTATCTAAGGCACCCCCTTAGAACAGTAAAACCAGATGTGAGCCGGCTACAAAGAGCTGGCTGAACAGACAGTAAATTGTTTTGGTGCATGTTTAATACAAACTTGAACTGGCTAAGAGTTTAACTTGAAATACAGTTTAGCATCTGTCCTTGTTTGCAAATCAAAAACTGACATACATCCATTATGAAGTCAACAGCTAATCAAGAATAGGAAAAAGACTTCAGTATTTGCACCCACCCACCCCCCCCGAAAACACATAGAGAATATAGATGCCATCTAAAAATACAGCTGCTTTCATTAAACAACTACTCCAAGAAGATTACAGAAGATCCAAGAAGTCTTGCTTTAAATCACAGGTAAATGTTGTGATTAGGGGCTTAAGAAAGGCACCACAAATACACAGAACTTTGAGATCCAGAAGCATCTCCATTACTTGCTCTTGAAATACTGAATGTTTCAATAGAAAACACCAGGAAAGAATAAGCACTTTAAGACTAGTACCTCACGTGACTGAAATATGCTGTAAATCCATTAAGGCTCTGGTGGATTTATTCTTTGCGCATCTGCTGTAGTTAAGCACCATGAACGGCTACTTTCTCCTGCAGGTTTTGGAAGTGCAATTTTACGCAACTCCGCAGTCATCTAGTAGTTTTCCCCTAATCTAATGCATTTTGACTACTTTCAGTTTGATGAAGGGATTACATAACCAAAGCTAATTAAGGTACCATTGTGCAAGCAAGAACCGGAGATAGAGCACTTAAGCACACCAACCGAAAGGCTGAAGCATAAGCGGTAAAAATACCTCAATAACTTTGGAAAGCTTCCAAAGGAGCTCATACACCTTCAAAATTTCATCAGCACCAAAGGTCAAATACGTAATAAATCTTTGTTTTCCAGTTTGAGTATTCATTAGTTTTAGAAGTGGCTACAGTTTTCATGCTTTGTGCTGAACTGATATGGTAGGTATATTACGCATGCTTTGGTACAAATTCATCATTTTGGGTCAGCCCTTTGACTTGCAGAAGTTAAACATCCTCAGAGGTCAAGACTCTCGGCAACATTAGAAATTCAAATATTTCAGGAACTTCTGGTTAAAAGTCACATCTAATGTCTTACAAATCTGGCACCACTCAGCAGTCAGAAAAATTTAGACCGAAAGAAAGTATCGAGTACCCGACCCCTTCAGGTCCCAACACTGCCATTCAAGTTTTTTACCAGGAAGAATAATTCCTTTGAGATCTCAAGTATTTTATTTTTACAGCCTCGCTTCTGAAAGTGCGTTTTTAAGTTACAGTCAAATCCACGTGCCACAATCAAGATTGAAATCCTTTTATTTGAACACTGCATAACCAAAAGAATCCCTGCCTAACTGGGAGAAAACAACAGGACAGGATTATAACGGATCCCCATTTGCAGGCTTTACTCCAGAGTAACCATTACTTTGTTTATGTGAAGAAGTTGGCTTTAAGTTTGCATCTATGAAAAAAAAATTAATATTAAAGTTCATCTATTTAATAAACTGTTAATGATTAGTACATGCACTAAAGGAGAGCCTCACATTGGCAGCTTTTTAGCATAAGAGTTTTTGTATACTTCTAAACTTTTAACAAAACATTAACCTACACAAGGTCTAGAACAGCTGGCATTTTCTTGTGAACTTAAATTGCTGTATCCAAGACCAGAGTTTAAGTAACTTCCCTGCTGTTAATTTGATAAAGCTAACTTGTTCAGCATGTTTTCAACTAATAAAATGGACACATTTTCCACATACTTTATAAGGCAAAAAAAAAAAAAAATCAGTAAAGCTTAGCCTTTTTATTCTAGTAACATCTCTGCCTAACTCTGTCAGTCTTTTGATACTGCTGCTAAAATCTTTTATCCCGTCAAAGCCAAAACAAGCACGAAGCATTCCCAAGAGGTGCAGAGGTTTAAACAACAGTGGTACTGCTCACACAAACACACATTCAAAACTTTGAAGGGACTCACTAAAGGAATAAATAAGACTGTATTCATGCTTCTGTGGGCAGTTAGGAAATCCTTTTTGTAAACACATTTGCATATGTGCATTACCGGCAGAAAACAACAGTAACCTCTGTACTTTAAAGCACTACTACAATTAAACAAGACAATAAGCCAGCACCATCATGGAAACAGTTAAGAACTTATTAAAGCAGGCTCACACTGTGGTAACGCTACCACACCCTGAAACTCTCAGTAACTGGAGGCTACAGAACTGGATTCTTCTGCAGACAGTTTGGAGGAGAGAGCAATGAGACAGGCAACAGCTTTCAGTGAAGTAGATTAAAATAGAGAATAAGCCCCTTTTAATACAGTATTAAGCCAGATGACTCCTCCTGTTTTTTAATCCTTCAAATCGAGTTTAAAAACTTGGGCTCACAGGCATGAACTATATGGAGAAACAAAATGTGGATAACGTTATTTTGACTTAGAAATCTCTTTTCTAACTTGGCTGGTATCCCAGGTACTCCAGTAAAACAAAGCACACTCCCAGACACTAAGTGGTACTTATATTGAATGATACCTTTTATTAAAACAGTCTATTTCATACTATACCTGGTTCTTGAGTGACATCCACCTTTCCCACAGTGATATCTAGATGTTCGCTTTCCTTTGCAAAACTCTCCCATGTCAATTCAATCTGTTGACAAGCTGGACACCAAGGAGCATAGCTGAAGGGGGAAGACAGGTTAAATATTTTAATATTCTTACACTTATGGACATTCAAATTGATTTACTGTACAGAGAAAATACAAACACATCAATCACAAAGGGGAAAAACCTACAGTTTTTCTTAATCAGGTCTACCGAATAAGACAATCAAGTCATTTTTTTATCAATCCCTACGTTCCTCCTCATATTATTAAAACAAAAACAAATCTCCACAGATATGAGAAATTCATATCCAAACCCCTCACCGCTTGTGATTTATTCTATTTACATATGAAATAAATCCATTTCCATGGCAGCTATCTGAATTATTGAAGCCAGGCTGTCCTCTGAAGCAGTATCCTTCAATGTAACATTTTCTATTTATTTCCCACACCTCAGAACTTCTAGAAATTACATTTGCCTTAGGCCACTACTCAATACGCAAAGCATGCCCTTTTTGATAGCACTCTTTAGAGATTTAAAAAGCGTGCACATCAAATTCCTACTGCTCATACTGATTGTCTTTAAGTCTTGTTTTTTCCCAGGATTAATTTCAGCAAAATGAGAAAGCATGTTTCAAGAGCTGAGTTTTCTATACTACCAATTGTAATAATCAAACCAAGTTTGCAGTTGTTATCGATAACATCAGCATGGAGACAGAACAGCTAATATGAAAGGATAATATCAGATAACGCTTAAATGCTGATAAAACCCCTTTTGCCATCTTTATGTATTTTACCCTAACTTGGTTGATAAAGTCTGTGTCAAACTTGTGCAGCTTGCAATGGTCTGTCATATACGCAATTAACGTAATGCAGAACAGCCAGGTATAGCACGTAACTGAGCCATGGCAACTGCCCATACGCAGACCTACCCTTTTACAGATGAAAAGAGACCTTTACATGGTTTAACCTAATTTATTGGCGGGGGTGGAGGTGGAATTGTATACATGCAGGTTTCTGATAGCAAAAGTAGTGGGTTTAGAGACACACTACTTCTCACAGTACTCCATATATGCTACCACGCTCCTCAACCATTGTTAACCACAGAAACAAACTTCTTCATGGACACAGTCCGATATCCTTAACAGCCCACATAACCACTACGCTCTAACTGGGAACCTCCACAAGGAGCTCCCTTACTCCTTCAGTTTGTCTGCCAGTACTACTATCTGACCTAAAGAGTGGCACTTCCTATTCTCTGGCTGTCTTCTGATCAGGAATGCTTACTTTCTTAGTGGCTGCGGACAGAGAACTCCCCAGCCACCCACTGATGTTTCATGTAAATAAGACTGAACCTAAACCAGGTAATTTCTCACAGAAGCGGTAGAATCAAATTTACTCCGAGTGCTTCATGGTAGTTTTGAAACCTAAGTACTTAAAAAAGGAAATCCTGTCATTTGGAAGTTAAAAAGATACAATTTAAAGATACATGTTATATTTCACTGTACCAGAAATTTATTATTCTAAGTATGAAAGCCAATACCTTGTTTTTTTTGAATCAGCATCATTCTGTGCGAGAGCATCTGAAAAAAGTGCATAAATCTTATCTTGCCAAGAAACAGCCCCTCAGTATCTTTCAAAAAGGTGCTGGAAACAAGTCTCACATGCAGTGCTGTTTCCCATTGTGCTGCTGGCCTACAGAGGGCTTTTAATAATAGTTTGATAGATACTGTACTTTACAAAGAGTATTATTTTATTACAGTAGCTTGACTGATAAGAAACTGCATACATCCATCAGATAATGCTGCTGATGTTGCTCTAAGATTAAGGACAGAAGTTGGAATGTTTTCTAAATCCAGCTTCTCTAGATGTGTCAAATTCACGCCGCGAGATTTTCAAGATTAATACACCCTTTAGCCTGTTTCAGGTACCATCTGATCTTGAAATAGAAATTTGGGCCCTATCAACACATATGTTTACATTTGACATTCACAAGCATTTCTTCTAAGTGAAATTAAGTGGAATATTCAATACACATGTTAATATTCATATGATTATAAATACTTTATTTAGCTCAAAGCAGCATTAAAATCCACCCGCACCAGAGTTTGGTAGTGACAGAACATAACAATGAACTTCACAAAAAGTCTTACTTATTGCCTTCCTAGTTTTTATTACCAATATGGGATGTGGGATGGCAACAGTCACATACAACGCTACAAGATCCAAACACTCAAGCTGAACATTGGCACAGACAATCAGGATTAAAATATTTGCTTTACATTCCTGAAATTACACATCCAATTTCTGCCAGCCAGGAGACACCCTGTCCCCACATATACAAGAGAGAACTTGCAATAGACATCAGATTTTTGCAAGAGTTACCACTGCTGTTTACATCAACATCCTCACTTTTCTGAAGCTTTAATGTCTGCATTTGTTATGCGGCATTTGAAGCACTAAGGAATTCAGGAGCGCCTCCTGGAAATAACAAAAACATTCTATTGCCAAAGCTTTATTGTGTCTCCTCTCAGGCTTAAAATACCTCTCTTTACACTTTCTCTTTTGGTAAGATATGGAAGACTAAAATACTTCACACTTAGGTCACCGTTATCAAAAGTTTCAAAAAACTTTTTGCACCCTGAAGAACTGAAGCTTAAGGAGGTACTTTATTTCAATGTAAGCTTCTACTGAATCCTTTAGAACCAGGGCCGATTCGTATTTCTACAGGAGTTGTGGTACAGCTACCATTCTTATATTCCCCAGAAAAAAATCTGTAGGAGTGGGAAAGCAGATCCATGTGTGTGCTGTGAAACCAGTCTTCATTACTTTTCATCGAGTCACAAGATGCAAGACCAGGTCACTTACAAAAGCAGAGGTAACCAAATTTCTTCTGCCATACTCCACAGACAGACCAGAAAATAATTAGCACCTCGTCAACACCACCAAATTTAGGGCTCTTACTCCTCTAGCTTCTCCCTTTGCACGAAGGGGTACCTTTAGCTATTAACTTGTTGTTTGCATTGTGCCCTATGCCCTACAAGTGTGCCAAGAAAACAGCACTCAGGTCTTTCCAATTTAAAATCAAAGTCCACTAGAATTTAAATCAAGACCTGGGTACTTGGTTAAGGAAAGAAAGTTTTCAGTAGCCTGTTACACATTAAAAAGCAATTTACTGATCTCCACCTTTTAAAAATCAGATTGAAAACACCACATACCTATAAATTACACATTGCCAAGTTATTCACTGCAATCAGGTAGTGCACATTTCTCAACATACACTTCATTTGTGGCATTACCAGACCTCTTACATAGCACAAAGCTTTACAGTTGAAATAGCCTCATGCACTGTCTACCCTCCGTAAATAAGGCAACTAACATGTACCTATCGGTCAGGTCCGCTGCAAGAACAATTGACTTAAGCAGATCAAAATCACTATTTCAAAGTAGCCAGCTGTTTTCCACTTCCTACTCCAATACATTACAATACCTGAAGCTTTTTCAGAGGACATAAAGAAAGCAATCCAAAAGCAAAATTTTAAGCTCTTAAAAAGTCAAGAGCAAAGTCTGTGTCTATCTCTGATCTCAAGCATAAAAGACCAAGCTTTGGTTTTCAAATACCAGCCACTTCACTGATGGCTGCAATACAAAAAAAAAAAAATACTTAAGTTTAAACCAGTTTGAGCAAACGTGCCATTCAGTCATATCACTACAGAGTTGATCAGTAAACACAGAATGATTTTAACAAGATTTACTGGTACACAGTTTCCAACTCCAAGCCACTGGATCTCTCTTCTTCTAACTGCTTGGCTAGGGAATTCACCAATTCCCTCATTTTCAAATGAATGTATCTGCTTTTTCACTACCATTATCAGTAATTATCAGTGTTGAACAGATATAACCTCGAATACTGTTCTACACTTTGCTCTGATGGTAATTTCAAGAACTTGCAAGAATCTAGGAACAAAAGAAAAACAGCTTTGGATACAGGCACGAGAGGATTTGCTGAAGAGAAAACAGCAGAATAGGCACCATGAAAGTTTCCCCATTTAGTCTAGTTTTTCTCTATTCGAGACACACAACTTTTTATAAAAGGTACTGCTTACAGTACACCAAACTATTTGCTGGATTTCAGATTGGGTGTACTGTTAAAATTAGAGGTGCAAATGTTGAGACAGTACCTAATAGAATGGTAAAAACAGTATCAGAATGAAATAGAATCATAGAATCATTAAGGTTGGAAAAGACCTCTAAGATCATCGAGTCCAACCGTCAACCCAACACCACCATGCCCACTAAACCATGTCCCTAAGCGCCACATCTACACATCTTGTAAATACTTCCAGGGATGGTGACTCAACCACTTCCCTGGGCAGCCTGTTCCAATGTTTAACCACTCTTTC